CTCCTCATACGCCCTCCAATTCAAATGAGGTCAGCGTCCAAAGTGAAAAGAAGATAACCTAAGACGTAATCATAATACCCACTTTTTTATGACAATGCTTTCAAGGCGAAGAACTAGATTTTTGATGAGATACACAAACATCTCCATGAACTCGATTCTGTCAGCGCAAGTGTCTCGCATCTGAAGAAAATTCGAATTTGAACTACATTAAACTGGTACTTTCTTCGCAACTAATCAGAACCATACATTTTGAGGCAAGACATCGCCAACGCTGGCCACGTGACATACAGTGTTGACTAGATCAGGCTTGAATGTGTTGAAACCTACGTCATTTAGCTCGAAAAAGCATGATCTCATAGAATAGAAAGGAGACTACCTTGAAGTAAAAGTTGAATGAGATCAAGCCACATATCCCATTTTCTGATTTTTCCATCGCTTCTAGAAAAAGATTCAAATGCAGATAAGAATTCATTATTAACAAACTACCTTGAGATATGGTAGAATTCGTCGAAAAACGTGTGAATCTCAAAATAGTCGCCATCATCAATAAATCTTGTAAAGCCTGCAGATATAAATTTTTGCTCCGAAACAACTACTGCAGTACACGTATGCAAAGGAATAATCTCAAACATAAATGACCAATTCATGACTCTTGTAGGTCATCTATGATAATGTGAGAATGAGCAACATTCGAGGAAAGAAGCAAAAGCCCTTAAAACCAACCTCTTATTGCGTTACACGCATCGTCAAACGTGATATCATTCTTGACAACAAATTTGTAGACAGTTTCGTACATAAGATCATCGTCACTGGGAGGGATTGTGAATCTGGATAAAAGGGAGCGAAGTATGGTCTTTTGGAAATAGACCAAAAAAAATGCAGCTAAAAGAGAAACTAACCTCTTGCTGTCAACGGCAATTGGGTCGTCTCTGTCATCCTGATTTTCATTGTCATCATCATCTCCTTCTTCATCTGAACTTTCACTGACCGCATCTTGGACGTGAACGTCCTCCTGTTCTTCTTCTTCACGAGCTTCTGTATCACTATCATCCGAAGCATCCCCCATAATGGCAATTTGATGGTCGGTTATTATCTAAAAATTAAAATTTTTAAAATAGCTCACTAAGACCTTTATGAGTGAAGAAGAAGAAGCCAATGCGAATCACGTTACGGACATAGATAGGAACGAAAAAGAGAAAAAAGCGCGTACTACTTGTCTATAGAGTAAAAGCCATTTTTTCTTATAATTATCCATTCAATTGTAAAACTTGCAGGAAACATGCATGAAATTGCTCAAAATTTGAGTTTTTAGCAGAAATTTGCACAATTAATCTCCAAATTTTTAGTAATTGGCGCTGCGACCGTTTCGCGCAGATACATTGGAGCACGCTAGTATGGATGTTTTTCTACGAGAATAATTCTGAATAATCTTTTTTATATATTGAAGATTTGGATACCCTATTCATATGTCATTGACAGCAGCCTTTTCTTGAACAGAAAGCATTACTCGTGATATCGTAACTTCAGTGATAGTCCCTGAAGGCCATACAAGACATAATACAAGGCCTCGTCACAAGACAAAAACTTGGTTTTATTTCAGTATCATTTGAGATCCAGTCCTAAAATCCCTGACTGATCAAGTTGTTTCTGCTGTATATCTCATCTTGATGTAGAGACTGCACTGGGAGTGTTGAGCATTAATTTACCATAGAATGCCAGCGTAAGCGGAAGCTCTCGTGGTTAAGAATTGCTTTCCCGTCGACCTATTCGAAATGCACAATAACTCGATTTGAATCCGTTGTTTTCGCATTGGAGCACGCCAATCAGTTCTTTTCTATTTAATTTGTTGCTTTTATTCACCTTTTTCTTTAGACTCTCGCATCTATGTCCGAAGATGAGTTTGGCTTAGAGATTTGTATTGAGGATGACTGTCATGTTGACAAAGACTCATCCTCTGGGTAGAAAATGGACATCAGCGTTGAAGGTGAAGAACACTGTGCGTGGACATAGGACGAATAAGTTACGAGAATTTGAAGGTGGTTCGACTGGCACTATCAATTATAACTAGACAATTTTTCGCCTACATTAAATGAGTTTCAAAAAAAAAGAACGGAAGTGAATTTCTTCATTGTCCACTCCAACAAATTCAAAATTCACTTTCTGAGGGATCACATGTCGTAGGTATCTCTTATCCAAACTGTTTCTTATGCTATTTGTCTGCAGTATACAACTCCAATAACACAGCATATTGCCACATAAGAAGAGGAGAGTGAAGTGGAGGATACTGCGAGCAGAGGAGAACCAGAGACTGTCTGATCTAGCTCATTTTACGCCTCGAATTTACTGTTGCTGCTCTGCCTCTGTTACCAATTATCGTGTTTCGGA